TCTCTCTCTCTCTCTCTCGTCACTGTTCCTCCCACCCTGTGTGTAATGGTGGTGCCGTCACGACGGACACACCCCTCCGAACATTTTCGTCTGGGGGATTCGCCTCGATTGCGCCTAATTGCGTAAACAACCGGCCGCTTTCGTTTCTCGTCCGACTCGTCTGCAAACAATCTCGCAACCCGTGGCGATCTTGCGAAAACTGCGCAGTTTCACGCGCCGGTTTTGTTCATGTCACTCCATCCCTTCCGTCGTGTTATTTGCAAGTATTTGTCAGCTCGAGCTGGAAACAGTTGGACGAAGGGACGTGCGAATTTTTTCAAATGGATTCAGAAGGAAACGATTCGTTCGGAGGAATTTCTGATTTATTCTGTATATTCAATTTCAGCGAGCGTAGATTTCGATAGAAAGCTTTTTTTAAACAGAGGACGCCTCGTAGTATTGACTCACATCTTTCGATGTAAAAATCCCGACAAATAAAATTGTTCACACGCTTCGCTTTTTGAAGTAAAGTCGAGAAATAGTCCCTGTCACACGGGACAAAAGGCTTGTATAATCGCGTTGCCTCGTTGTTTATTATACGAGAGCGTACGGAACTTGCAGAGAGGTGCAAGATCTCGTTGTTCACGGTGTCAATTCGACCCTGTTCCGCGCATTCCACCCACGTAATTACAACTCTTGCTTGATATCCATCGTTCTGAGAGGCCGTCGTGAGGATCGTGAAAACGGCGGAAGTCCGCGACGAATCGCGACGAACGCAACTCGCGATGCGATTCGGTAATTATGTACGAAACTTTCTCCTCGCCGTCTCCGTCAATTAACATAACGATCATCGTCGCCTGTCAGGGTCACTCGGCCCGGACGAAACTTGCAATTTGTACGTTATTAAACGTTATCAAGCGAAATTCTCTCTCGGTCGATGAAAAAGAAGAAGAAATTCTGTGAGCGAAGCTAATGGCACGTTATTGCTTATCCCATTGAACAAACAAGCGGGCAGTCCGACGTGCGGATTCGATACGGATTCGTTGCGAAATGTAGCTTTTAGCGACACCCGTGACCGGTCATAATCTGTCCATTTTGCAGCATCGCGAGATATCGACTCTCGTCGATAAAAAATTTATTGAGATCCACGATCCATGTATTAATTAACGGAATACTAGACTAGAATGCTAGAATACTTATAGAAGAGCATAACTGAATCAATAACGATGAAAAATTGTCGATAATATAAATTATTATAACTTCATAAAGTCTTTACTTTAACAGCTTTCCGTTTTTCTTTTTTTTTTTTTTTTTTAAATGATATTCGATGATTTTACGTTCTATAGCGAGTGAGAAAGTAGGGACAGTTTCCTCCTGAAAATTGTAAAGATTCAAATGTTTTTGAAAATAATAAAAGAATAAAGGTATTTGTAAGTGTTTGAACATTTTCGTGTATGTAGGTATAATAAGCATATAGAGTGAAGAGCACAACTGCACCAATAAAACGAAAAGTTGTTAAAACTTTGCGAGACAAAAATTAGATATCAATAGAATCATTTTTTTCTTTTATCCGAACCATTATTTTTCGAATATCTTAATTAATTCGAATGTTGTGATCACCAATAAAATTATCTGCTAGTAATTGGACAAATATTACTCGCATTTTATTGTACATTATTATACATAACAATCTCATCGTCTCACTTTAAATTGTAAAGCCTCTACTTCGACAGCCTCGAATTTGTTTTTTTTTCAAGGATAATTTTATATCAGTGGATTAAATATTAAGGATATTTTTCTTTCCGAAAGTTATAGAAATTCAAACGTCTCTAAAAAGAATTAAAAAAAATTACTTTTAATGACAAGATATTGAAATCTGAGTTCTAAGAAGTAATTACAAAAAAAAGATGTCAATTTTCAAGACCACGCGAATCAAATCACGTAAAAGAATAATCCTTAATATTTCGAACTTTAGAACTTCTAGGGAAAAAGTATCCTTGTAACTCGCTGTACGATATAAAATCATCCGTTCCTGAAAAAAATCCAACTCAAAACTATCGAGCTTGTAGATGTTTCACATTCTGAAATCATATCGTTACGCGATATGTTTCTTTTTTCATACAAAGTTATAGTAGTTTAAATTATCGACAAGTTTTCATCGTTATCGATTCAGTTGTGCTCTCCGATAACGTCCACTTAGAGACCCTTTTTATAATTTTACAGCCCCTTGGATCAATTCGTCGTCGGTAAATTCCAACGTTTATCGCGTTCCGTTCAGCAGTGTTACAAGACAGCGTTTCCGTGGCTGTCTTCGAGGAATGCGCGATTATCGAGCGCGAAACGGAAGCGGTGTATCGCGGTGAATCGTTTTTCTCAAAGAACTTTCTGCTCCTTCCTCTCTTTATTATCCCCCAGTCTGTCCCCTTTCGTCGGATTAAATCTCCGCCTCGATCTTTTTTGATACCGACTATCTGACTGAGCGGTACATAAAGACGAGTGTTGCGGTCGGAAATTTTCTTAATTGCCGATGGCGAAACAAAAGGAAACCATGGTGGATAGATCGGCTCCTAATCGGCCAGCAAGGCTAAGATTGCAAATTAAATACTGTCGCGAAAGTGCGATTAGGGAACGAATGTTCTCTCTTTCTTTTCTAAGATAATCGCCTCTTATTAACCGGCTCTTTTTGAGGCGGGCTGCGTTCTATTTAAGATCCATTCGGCCAACGATAAACTCCTCGTCAATTAGATAACGTGGCTGTTCCGGCTGTTTATTTCTCTTCGTTGTGAAACATTTGATGCTCGGTATCGTTTCGTATCGAACGAAATTGACTCGTGCAAGAGCATATGAATATAAAATATACCGATGGGATTCTCCAATCCAATTCGCGAAGGCCACCCAACCTAAATTTCGAAATTTTGCCAATTTGTTTTGATCTTTGCTTGGTATCTTTCTCCGGAGCTGTTGCGTCAAATTAGGGATATTAACGTGTTCTTTTATGCAAGACAAGTGTGCATTATGCGAATACGAGTTTATACGTTTAATCATACGTATTTGAAATACGTTGATAATTTGGACTCCCTGCTAAGGGAAATTAAATCTAGCCAACAGCTCGGACTTCTTCCTTTTTTCCTTCCTAATTTCACGATCATTATAATGAACGTATACATTTGATGCTGTATGATGGGATGTATAATAGTATAATATCTGAACAGAGTGAAAAAGACCGAACGAGACGGAAAAGACGTAAGTATTTCAGAAGAAGAAATTTCTGAAGACAGTGACGAGTCAATTGACGCTCATTGGAATCATTCACGTGATCCAGAATATAATTTGCATAAACTAAGCTTCTTACAAAAGTTTAAAAAATAGTAGAGGATATTATTTTTCCTGAGATTGAAACTATGTATCATTAACTCTTGTATATTATACTTTCTCTAGCAAACCTACAGTGCACGTTGATCATTGCTTTAAATTTGAACGGTATCACATGTCAGAAAGTGTATAATTAATTAAAATTTCACGTTAAATACCATTTGAATGATTATTTCCAATGCTGTATCATTTTATTTGAAGTGATGCTGGTAGATGATACAAAA